AAAATCCGGATACCCGATTTTGAACACCTTTAGGTCCAAATATATGATTGCCATGTTTGTCTATAAATATTGATTATGCCATTGTATATTTTTTTAATATAAATATACGATAAATATAGGATGAATGCAATATAATATATATTCAAAGACTTTTAATTATTTAACAATGAACATTCGTACATTTATATACATGATACTCGAATATGAGAATTTAACAACAAATCCTTTATAGGATCTTCTTCTTAAGTGAAATTATTATTATTTCTTTTTCAAATATCACTTTCTCATCAACCAAACGGCACACATGAACCAGTCACAATTCGGTGAAACTGAAACAGCCAACATATTCAGATGAAAGATCCCATCCTTCCCTTTTAGGATTAAATCCTTAATTTCTTCAATATATTAACACACTCAAAATGCTTTAAAAAACATATACAACATAGTCATGGAATTATAGAAAGTGGTACCTCGATCAACAAGGTACTAAGAGATTGTCGCTTTGCTTCATCATCGACCACCTTGTCGGCCTCGTCAACATCCTTGCTATTATTTTCCTTTACAACAGATACTGTTGATGAGGCTATTATTTTGCTGCTATTGTTTCATCATCGACCTTCTCTAGAAATACATGAAAATATTGAATACAATTCTTTGACGGAGTGGACAGTATCTGTATTTATACATAAAGTTTTGCTGCTATTATTTTCCTTTCTAATTATTTTATCATTCGACTTCTTTTTGTTTTAAGATGAAGTTTTGCCACTGTCAGATCAGCAGCTTTTTCATCTCCATTAGTGGGTTTAAAGTGGATTTAAAGCGGTGGAAGAAGCAAAAGGAGGAGGAGGTAAACTACGCGTGGATTTTTATTTTAATTGTCAACTTAAACTTCTGTTAATGTGTTAATGGTCGAGGGATTAAAATCTAACAAACTAATAATGTAAAAAATCAAATTATTTATTTTAACCAGTGGCAAAACTCGAATAGATCGAAAACATAATAAACTATTTATATAGTTTCCCAATTTTAAACTACATAACCTTAGATATTGGGATGAGTATTAGACATTTAATATAAAAAAATTGATTATTCAATTTAAATTCTAAAATTGATAATCGAACTCATTTACTAATTCAAATTAGATAAATTAACTTAATAAATTTAATTTTTTTGATTAAACTAATTCAATTTATTCAATTAAGTTGGTTTAACTATTTGCTCGTCCCTGCCTTAACTGCAATCACAGTTGTAATCAAGCGGCAAGGATTTGCCGAATGGTGGTACAAATCTATAAATGGTATAACGATAAAAAAAAAGTCATTAATATTTGGTTGAATAATTATTTTGATTTTTCTTCTTAAATATTTTAATTGTTGATGTTTCATTTTGAAGTAAGAAGGTCTTGTTGATAAAATTATTAGTCAACAAACAGTTAATGTTTTAAATTAAACGATAAAATGAAATATTTTGGTCAAAATATTCTAGAAAATAAGGATTAAATTAATTATTTAGTCAAATATTAAGAGTTTTTTTAACTTAAAATAAAATGTAAGATGACAAAATACTTTAAAAAAATATAGACTAAAATAATTATTTAACCAAATGTTAAAAGTTTTTTTTTCATTTCATTTTGCCTTTGTAAATCAAAATGTTGGAACTTTTAATTTTGTACATTCTTAAAAATCAAATAGTAGGGAGCTCCAATATCCATGAAAAACGCAATATTGCTACAATGGGATTCAAAGAAGAGAGCAGATGATAATATCAAAGGCTGAAATTCCATTTCCCATGTTTCAAAGTCAAACCAACTGATGGTCAAAACGGCTGCTTGAGGATAGTGCCAACACATTGAAATTTAAACATAATGAACCAACAAAAATCAAGGCACCAAAATTTACAACCAAAGTAGGGCCGTAACAACATTCCCAACCCTATTGTTCCCTCACACCGTGCCGTGCCGTGCTTTCCAATCTTTCACTCCGTTCTCCTTCACCTTCTTTCTCTCTGTTTTGTTACAAAAAACTACAAACAAACAATTCATATGGCTATGCCACAATGATGGTCTACACTTCATGCCTTCTGCTCCCCATTTGACTATTGCTTACACTTTCGCAGCAGATATCGCTGTTCTTAATGCCTTCTTTCTTCGTTAGCACGGTTTTCGACTTCCTCGGTATGCACTTGGAACGAACTCCATCGATCTCCTTTTCTGCCAACTGCAGCTGCAAGCTACTGATGATTCAAAGTTCCACAATTACTCAAAAATGAACAAACAACAAGGAGAGCAAATACGGATTAGTAATCTTGATGGCCAGCATTTAATATGAACTATCATTAAATGGACAGATGGCTAATGGCAGAAAAGGTGAGAAAGAAGATCATCATTTCCAGTTCATGAACAATAGATTGTACCTGTACCAACAAAGTGAATAGCCTTTAGCTGGCTTGCCGCTAAAACCCAGTACGAATATTACATTGAATAACCAGAACAAGCCAAGCGGGGTCTTTTTCAGACCCAGAACAAACTTTGCTTACTTGCAACAGTTCAGTTTTGAACAAAAACTTCAAAGCTATTCATTGCATCATACCCTAAATGCTTGTACACTTCAATCACATCAAGATATAGTGCTTGGATTGTGCCAAAGCTTAATCACATTGACGCTAAATTGTCAAAGTTCCATAGCTAGTAATCTCATATGATGAATCTAACAAGATTAAACAACATGCAAATAACTTTTATCAAATTGCTAATAAAAGTTGGGTGTTTCTTGTCGTGTTTGGTCTCACAAAATTCAGATTTTGTAGAGTTACTATTAAAAGTAATTCGTTCTTATGAACCCATCAAATAACCTCGTGATAAAAATAATTCATTCATATGACCTACCATATAGGGTGTGTTCATTGTCACTAAAAATGATTATGAACCGATACTATTTTTTAATCTCGTGTGACTATTCAAAAAGTAATTCATATTGTTCAATGGTTAACAAAGTTACCTATCGTCATTGTAAGAGGAAGATCTCTTCAAGGAAGGAACTTCAACTTTCTTGGTTTCAATCAAGCTCCCACTGAAGTACTCTTTATCTTCCAATCTTACCTTGAGAAGCTCCCAATATCCCTTTCAATCCCACCTTCTTTCCTTACATGGCTACAATCTCCTGCTCCACGAGGTAGCCTTGATTTATAGTGGCCAATCAAGGAGAACCCTTGATCCCTCTCCGAGCACGGTCCACAATCCTTGAACGAGATCGAACCGCAGGATATCAACTGCATCAAAACAGAAGACGCCTTCATTCGACCACTCTGGGAACCCTCGGCGGTTCGATACAAGTTATCTTCGTTACCACCGCCACCACCATTGCACAACTTCAGCCGTCCATCAGCTTTCATCAATGATTCCAATGTCTCGGGACTCGAATCCGACGGTGGAGGTGAGATCTCTTCCCTGTTCAGCTCCGATGTCTGGTTCTGCTCCAACTCTTGACTTTCACTTTGCAGCTCCTCAATCTCCGTTTGCTTAACCATCGGCTTTCGCCTTCTCTTATCATCAGTTTGAGTCGATGCGTCAGCAGCCAGTCCCCGAGCTGACTCGGAACTTGACTCGGCCTTGTAAACTCTGTATTCGTGGAGATCAATGGAACTCCACGACTGATTTCTCCGCCGTCTGATTGACGGAAAGTCATGATCTTTGTCGGACTTTTGACCGTCCGACGGTTTTGTTAGTCTAAAAGAAGATGACTCTACTTCGAGGGATTGGTTACTGATCGAATGGTCGAGAATCTCGGATCCTTTGAGAACATTCTTGACCGTTAGATGGATAGACAAAATCGTTGTCTGCTAAGTCGTGCCAAACGAAGCCATTTTTGTAACTCCTGAGTCAAGTAAAACCAAGATGATGAATTAAAAATCGGACGGTGAGGAGAAGTGATAATCTTATCAGACGGTTAGGAATGAACGAGAGTGTTACCGCTTACAGGACCAAGAGTATAGGGTAGCCATGCCTTTGCCTCGAAGGAGGTTTAGGCGGTTGATTACATCTGAAGATGGAAAGAAAGATATAATTTTAATATCAAACTGCTGTGAAGTTATTTTTCTCAGCATCCAAACAAAGAGAAGAATAGGTTTTGATTGGGGGGGGGGGAATCACTTCTTTTTACATTTTATGCTTTACGAGATAACAGAAAGTTGGCCCTTTTTTGTCAGCTATGGAATTGAGCATGACCATTTGGCAGAAGGCATTTCTTGGGTACGTAAAATTCAAAATTTTGGACTCTTAACTTTCCTACAAACCAAACAGAGAATTTTGGGGAATGGAAAAAGAAAGAAAGTTTTGTTGCTAAATTCTGCAGAAAACCCAGAAAGGAAACGAAGCCCTTATACCTTTGAGATAAAGCCCGTGATTAGAAGAGAGAGGAACTTCCATGAAATGAGGGTGTTCAAGCAGGCCATTTCTGGACAAATAGTAAACAACAGAAACTTTCCTTTGAGCTGCGTTGGTGAGAGACTTGGGTTCAGTCCAGGTTTTATGCCTTTCTGGGCTTATTTCTCTCTCTTTCCATTTCCCAGAAACAACTCCAAACTCTGTGGTTCTTCTACCTCTGGAACTCGAGGCCATTGCACTTTCTCTATCTGCAAAGCAAAACAACAGAAACAACAAAGATGGTGAATGAGACAATACAAAGAAGAGAGTGGAGGTGATATAATATAAGAGGAAGGAAAGTGATGTTACCCGAGGAGAGTGAAGGCAGCAGATATGGGTGGATTTGGATTTTTGTAGGAAAATGAAGAGTGTGTGAAATGGAGAAGAGAAGTGGAGAGTTCAAAATGAGAATGCTGCAGACAACAGCTAGGAAATTAATAAAAGGGTAAAAAATAGTAATGGTCACTTAACTTTTCTAAAGCTTTCATTTAGGTCCCTCAACTTTTAAAACTTATAATACAATCCCCCAACATTTAGTCCATTTGCAATATGGTCCCTCAACATTTAGTCCGTTTGCAATATGGTCCCCTACGTAACTGTTGGGTGACCATATTGCAAACGGACTAAATGTTGGAGGACTATATTGTAAGTTTTAAAAGTTGATGGACCTATATAAAAGCTTTAGAAAAATTCAGTGACCATTACTATACTTTACCCTAATTTTTATTTATATTCATGCTTTTCATGGGTAGATTATCTGGCCCTCACTTGTAGAAATATAATTTTCATTTATTTGGATTGGCAAAATAAACTTTTCTGCGTTCTGGCAGAAGTACAAATTATTTTAGGTTGATTTGTATCAATTCAATTTTGTAAGGGTTGTTAGTGAGCTATTACAGTTATGTATTGATTCTCTGTTCGACCTTAACCGAATCATGTGATGATTTGCATTGTTTCATTTCAAGTATCAACTTTGTGTTTTTCAAGCAGTTTCATGTTGCATGTAACTAACTCTGTTTTTGTTGAATGACGACAGGGTTTTGATTTGAGGTTGATAGATATAAATCGAACTTGTAAAGTAACAAAGGTAATATAATGCAATTTGATTGAGTTTTTTTGTTAGATTGATTTCTATGCAACTCATTTGAAGTTGATATTGTTCAGGGAGGTCAAGTGGTCAAGTACACCGTTTTGATGGTGTGTGGAAACGATCATGGTGTTGTTGGATATGCAAAAGCCAAAGCTGACGCAGTCCCTATTGCAGTCCAAAGGGTAACTTTCCACTGCTTTTATTTATAATGTTATTTAATTCTGCACCATAAAATCAATAGGTGAATCGATTCTTTATCTTCTATTACTTGACTGGTAAATCTGGTCTATTCAGACAGACTGGTTTTACGTCCTGGTAATCGTAATAAGTTTCAGCTATGATTTCTTTCTTACCATGATGCTATGATTTCTGGGATGCAGTATTGAAATCAATTTAATTTGAAAGATGTATAATATCATCAATGTTGTCTACCATGACCATGTTCTTCTATATCATTGTCAATAGCTTGATGAATTTACGTGATATGTACCGACTCATGTAACCTACAACAGGCACATGAGAAATGCTTTCAGAATCTTTACTATATTGAACGACACGAAGAGCACACTATAGCCCATGCAATTCAAGAATCATATAAGAAGACTAAGGTGCACATAACTCTCTCATTTTTATAACCATTTTAATCTCAATCTTGGTTTTTACAGTTGAGTTAATTGTTCACGTTTGTTGATGCTCCAGTTTCTCTGCATTCATTCTACTTCAAACCATTTATGCTTTTGGTAGGTCTATCTCTGGCCTGCACCAACTGCATCGGGTATGAGAGCTGGAAGAACTGTTGAAAACATTTTGCTTTTAGCTGGCTTTAACAATATCAAATCAAAGGTAATCAAGCGATATCGCTTCCATGTGCTCGGACTCGGGTTTTATTGGATTCTTCATTCATTTGAAGATTCTTGGGGTCCCTTACAATGGTTTTTAGAATTCAACTTTTTATAGGCTCATCTGAACTATCTTCTCAGGTATTGGCTCAAGGAATCCTCACAACACTGTCAAGGCTGTTTTTAAAGCCCTCAATGCAGTAAATAACTCGGCCACCCATATAACTGGAATAGGGTTTTGAAACAAGTTGCTTTTGGGACAGCCTGAATAACATAAGTAATTGCATTATTGTTTGTGTAGGTTAAACACCAAAAGACATGCAGGAGAAGTTTGGGAGAGCGGTTGTTGAGAAACACTTGCTTCAGTGACCATAGCATCATACCACCTTGTATTTTTCTCTCTCTCTCAATTTACAACACTTTTGAGCTTAAATTTTGTCATTGATTGATGATGCTTTGTCATGTGTTTGGTTTAGTCACCGAATTCCAGATATGTCAAATAATCTGGGGCTTTGATTTTGAGCCTAATTTCTTTAGAATCTTGTTTTGCAATTTCTCCCTCTTGATTATTTCCATATGTTCTTTGGAAGGAAACTAAAGAAGAGTTTGGAGAGTTGTTATCTGTCCATTTAAAAGCAGCAAATCTCCACAGTTTCATGACAACGTTCAAGGAGAAAATCTAGAATATGTACAATGATTTCATCATCTGAACGTAATAAAATACCCACTAAATGCGATCATTAAATAAAGATTGTGGCTTCACTTTACCACGTTTGAGAATGCTTTCAATCTCCTTGGGAGGGTTGAGACCCATTGCTTGAGCTCTTTCCCAGCGATCAGGGTCGTGGCTGGGGCGGCGAGAACTATCGACCGTGCAGGGTCCCCCAAAAAATGGCTTCAAAAAAATATATATATAGTGACGTTTTACCAAAAAACATCATTATAGATAGACCTATTACGACGTTTTTTTTTAAAACGCCACTATTATTGAGGCTTTATTGATAAAACGCCATTATAGACGGATCTATCGCGGCGTTTGTCAAGAAAATGCTACTATTATTACCCGAAATCGAATATATCTAGAAAACACGGGACATTTTATACGAATTTGTACAAGGCCCCCGAAAACCCTACCACGGCCCTGCAAGCGATCAAGCCTCGGTATCCCAATGCATGGTCCGAAAGCCATGTTCATATCAAATTGCCTCAGCACTTGCTCCTCCTCGTTGAAATCATATGCTTTTAACCAAAAAAAGAAAGGGTAAAGTATAGCAATGGTCACTGAACTTTTCTAAAGCTTTTATTTAGGTCCTCTAACTTTTAAAATTTGCAATACAGTCCCCTATCATTTAATCCGTTTGTAATATGGTCCCCAACAGTTACGTCGGGGATTATATTGCAAACGTACTAAATGTTGAGTGATTATATTGCAAGTTTTAAAAGTTGAGAGACCTAAATGAAAGCTTTAAAAAAATTCAGTGACCATTACTATACTTTACCCTTAATAAAAAGGGCTCTTCTTAAATCAGTTCTTGGCTTCTTGTAGTTGCAGTAGCATGTCAGTCAAATTCCTAGTTTATTTCTATCCGTACTGTAAATAATTAAAATACAAATTCCTAGTTTATTTCTTAAATCAAATTGTATACACTAGACATTACTTCGATGAATATGATCATTCAAAACTTGTAAGACCACAACATTTTTTGAGCAATAAAAATGCAATTTAGAAACTTATTCAAATTAAATTCAGTTTGGTGTAATTTTGAAAAACCTCGGAAAATCTAATGACTTATTCTATAATTTTTCTATTTATTTTTTAGAGTCAATATTCTCATTAACTTGTCGAGTTCTACGAGCCTTAAATGGATTCCTTAATTTCCCATTATGAGTTTCCTTATTGTAATAGAAAAAACCATTTAATTCTAGTAATAATGTTTTTTTAATGTGGAAAATTGGTCTCCTTTTGAAAAAAAAATCCCTTAAACCCTAGTCCTATGTGCATCAGTCGACATTATATGTTAGATGCTACCATCACCCCTTTTTATACTAATTAACCTCTTTCTCTCTTCCCTTTTCAGCATTATCAACCCAAATTTGTAATGGTCTAAACTTACCATGATAAATAATACGAGTATTCTGCATGTCACATTAGACTCTAAAGTGATTCGAACACATACGAATTCTTAATCATGCATACTAAGCGAAAAAAAGGGGAAAATCATATACAAGAAGCAAACATATCACGCATTATACGTAATTATTTACAAGCTAATCATGCTTTACAAATAACCGAGTTAACGAATTAGACATGCAAAAGCAAAATAGTCATTTCACAACACATACAAGAAATTTACATAAATTTACAGAATAAATTAAATTATTAAACTTTACCAAATATGGATTAATTGTGGTTAAATTTTAAGTGAAAACGGACTTCAATTAGATACTCGATTGCATTTACAAATTCTAGGGACTAAAGCATAAATATTTCAAAATATAAATTTCAACAGAAAATACAAAAGTGAAGGAATCAATATGTAATTAATGCTATTAAAGGGTGACAGAACAAATTTCACATAAATCTGACTTAAAACCAATATTTAATTAAGAAATCAAGTTATGGATCAATTTAAATTCATTTTAAGGTTTAGTAGTCATCCTAGGGTCTAAGGAACATTACAAGTCTTTAATGAATACAATTTTATTATTTTTCATTGAATACAACTTCAAGGGAGCAAACTTTTTTTGCGGGAGATTGTTCCTTTACAATCCAATAGCCAAAAATCATCAAGGGATCGATCCATTAAGGGAATGATCAATCCTTTATCTGAAGGGACCATTCCTTTCTATCAAGGGATCAATATATTTTCTGGATAACCCAGAAAGTACACATAAGCATGATATCAAATATAACCTATAAACATACTTGATACACTTAAAACAAGTTAAAACACATATGTTACATGTTTCACATCATCAATTACACAAAATAACATATTTTTGGAATCAAAATTCAATAATTGCATAAGAAGTCAACTTTGTAAAACTTAATCATCTTATACATTATAGGCCATTTCATACTTCCTATAAATCTAACATATTATGTACCAACATTAAAACTTGTCTAAATGCTCAACACATTCAATTAAGGCAAAATTCACATTTTGGTCACGTGTTGCATACTTGAACAACATGCATAACTTGGAATTGAACTTCAACATAATTCAATTGACATCTAAATCATAATCCAACATTCAACATAGGTCATTATAGGTTACATAAGTTCCAACACACTAATAAATGTGCAAAGCTAACCATATATCCCAATTAAGGTTCTCACATTGCCTCAACAAAAACAATGTTCAACATACACTTGAAAAATGTCCTTTGTTTTGATCACCATCAAGTGCGTTGTCTCTTAAGCTCTAAATCAGTGTTTAATTATTTGCAAAAGGCAACGAGAGTGAGCTCACAAGGCTCAGTGAATAATTAACATTCAACACAAGATATACGCATGAAGATTAAAAGAAAGCATCATATATGTCATGAAACTCATTGTTTTACCTCTCAATTAATATGTTTATGTATGGCCTAAAGTCGCCCATATCGTGATATAATGGTACATGGTTAAACTATTCGGATAATCAAGGTTCACGACATTTAATGCGTAGTGATTCCACATACTAGTTATTATATCCTTTTTCTTTCCCTAGAGGATATAATAACTATTGAAAGTCAAAATATCATGGGCGGCTATACAAATTCAAATGGGGTTGCTAAATTGATTATGTTAGGCAGATTGAAAATGTTGAATTTTGAAGTGGTAAAATCACAAAATTTAGCCATTGGACTTTAGGGTATTTACAAGATTAGTCCTTAAGTTTCAACTATAAATACCCTAGCTCATTTAGCTTCAAAATCATCCCAAAGCATTCTAGCTTTCTTCCAATACTAGAGAGAATTTAGAAAGTTTCTTGAGAGTTGTTTTCTCCTTTTTATCAAGAGAGAATTATCATTGTTTTCTCCTTGGTAGATCGGGAGAGGTTGTAATTCCTATTTTCTCATAGTGAAATTCTTCTACCGTTGCCCGTGGTTTTTACCCTATATTATTTATGGGTTTTCCACGTAAATTTTGTGTCTCTTTTATCTTCATTTTTATTTTCTCAAATTATCAGTTGCGATTTTGCTCTATCCGATAGCCGTCTTCCGCAACAATTGGTATCCGAGCCAGATTTGAGTGTGTAATATCTGCTTATTGTCTTTGTGGTTGCCATCAAAAGGTAGATCCTCCAACATAAGAAAGTAAGAAGGTATTACCCATTCTTTGACGGTTCTAGAGAACTATTCACGATAGTGAAATAGTGGGAGTTATCCGAAATAGAAGCTATGGCAACGAAATTTGATATTGAAAAGTTCAATAGGAGAAATTTCTCATTGTGGAAATTAAAGATGAAGGCCATCCTGAAGAAAGACGAGTGTCTAGCGGCTATCAGTGAAAGGCCGGTGGATTTTGCAGATGACAGCAAATTGACGGAAATGCTATGACAAACTTTCATCTAGCATTAGCAGATGAAGTATTGTCAAGCATCGAGGAGAAGAATACAACTAAGGAGATATGAGATCATCTCACCAAATTGTACGAGGCCACATCGCTGCACAATAAAATTTTCCTTAAGAGGAAATTGTACACTCTCCATATGCCAGAATCTACTTCAGTGACGGAGCACTTAAATACACTGAACACCTTATTTTCTCAGCTTACATCCTTAAGCTGTAAAATATGAGAACAAGAACGTGCTGAACTTCTACTTCAAAGTCTACCGGATTTATACGATCAACTCATCATCAACTTGACAAACATTAATGTCACCAGTCTAGTCTTCGATGACGTTGCAACTGCTGTTCTACAAGAAGAAAATCGGCGCAACAATAAGGAAGATAGACAAGTAAATATGCAACAAGCAGAAGCGTTGACAACGATGAGAGTGAGATCAACAAAACGTGGCCAAAGCAACAGTCACAAACATGGTAGATCGAAGTCAAGAAGAAAAAAGAATTTAAAGTGCTACCACTGTGGAAAGAAGGGTCACTTGAAGAAGGATTGTTGGAGTCTAAATAAAAACTCCAATCCACAAGGCAATACCGCAAACACTTTAGATGATGGAGATGCTCTATGCTGTGAAGCGTAAACCACCGCGGAAGGTAGAAAGAAATATGCAGATATATGGCTCATTGATTCAAGAGCAACATATCACATGACCTCAAGAAGAGAATGGTTCCATCATTATGAACCTGTCTCAGGAGGATCTGTGTATAGTTGCAATGATCATGCCTTAGAGATCATTGGCGT